TAATCGATTTTTCAAACTTTTGCAATTTTCTCAAAAATAAAAGCGCGCTGGGACATTTTGATATTATTTCCTAAAACAACTTACCCAAAGGGTTGTTTTGGTACAATAAAAAGAAATTCGATTTTTTGAAACTGATTTAAGATTCTCGACGCTTACAGACATACGCTCTTAACAACATTATGTCTTGGTGCGTAATTCGATCCTTCTGTTATCAAAGTTCTAGTTTTCAAACATTATTCTATTTTTTAGGTTATAGACGAGTTAGAGGACCAGATGAGTGATGGAGGAAACATTATTGATTATCATGGTTGTGAATTCTTCCCTGAACGATGGTTTGATATAGTATTTGTACTCAGAACAGACAACACAATATTGTACGACAGACTAGAACAAAGGTATTGTTATTGCTCATAATGGGATACCTGTGGTAGACTACATAACCCTACCCTTACACCCCCATCCCCCCCAAAAAGTTTAAAGATTCAAGCAGTTGAATGCAGAGGTCAATGTCTTTGTTGTCATAGAAATTGGGTGTACACTGGAATAGTTCTACCATGGGTGTAATTTTCCCATTTCAGACCACATGTCATTCATTCCCTAGAGTATTATTTCTTTGTTAAATGGTTGCACATGAGAAGACACACAATGATGCAAACCTCAAACAAAGAATCTTATTGGCATGGGAATGACACATAGTCTGAAATGGGAAAACATTACTCCCAAGGTAAAGAGGTATATATAAAAAAATGCATTAATCCATTTAGGGAGGGGAGGGAGGGTGATTTGTCCCAATTCAATGAAAAATCAAGAAAATGCCTGTAAAAAAATTTTTCAAATCGACTGGAAAATTTAAAAAAATCTTTAAGATCAAATTTAATCTTTTGTCTATCTTGCAGAGGATATGCAGGAAAAAAGTTATCCAATAACATTGACTGTGAAATTTTTCAAACCATTCTGGAAGAAGCGAGAGAAAGCTACAGCAAGGAAATTGTTCATGAACTTCCAAGTAATACTCCAGAGGATATGGAACGCAATCTTGAACAAATACAGCTGTGGTTGCAACAGTGGAGAAGCTAACTGTTTGAAACTGAGGTTTGAAAAAGACTGCTGAATTTGTCCAGACCTGTAAAGTATTGGTACCACAGAGGTGTATAGATGGCACAGTGGGGTTGACAGATCATGACATTCTCTTTTCCTCCTGATGACTTTCTCCTTCAGTGTTCTTACAATAGAGTACCGAAGTGTGACGTCATGGAAAACCAAATTTTGCTTTTGAYGATTTTTGATCCTCGATTTCAAGAGAACATCAAGGAAGACGTTAACAAGCCAAATTTCAAGAATATAGGTTAAAAAGCCACCTAGATATGGCAGTTTGAATATATAATTTCCCCATACAAATCACTCTATTTCAGCAATGATCCAGGGTTAAAATACAGTGATTTGTATGGAGAAATTATATAATTATTCAAATGACTATATCTTCGTCAAATTTGCTTGTGAACATCTTTCTTGATGTCCTATCAAAATCCAGGATCAACATTATATGATACAGTGAAAATAATATTTTGTGATGTCATCACTTCAGTACTCTATTACATTATGAATGTATAGTCAGATACCAAGAGGTAAGGTACTCAGGTGAAGCTGCAAGGGAGGGTACCCACCCCTTCTGACCATGTRCTAGAACTTTAAAGTACCACAGATAAACAAAAAAATTATAAGTTTATAAAACTATTATGTTGGTTAGTTTGTTTTTGTTATTGCAAGATGTTTCCACAGCCCTTCTGACTGTGCTAGAACTTTGAAGCACTACAAATAAACAAAAAAGTTATAAATTTATAAAACTGTTATGTTGGTTAGTTTGGTTTGATTATTGCAACATGTTTATGTTCAAGTGGTAATGTTGGTTCTGCTTATTCCTGTACATTTAATATTGTCTCAAAATTTTGTGGAAAGCATTTTATTTGCTAGAATGATTTCACTTGGCTTATGAAACAAAGTTGTATAATAGGTTTGCATGATGGCATCATTGACCTCTACCACCAGAATCCAACTTTCTTTTGTCAAGTTACTTAGCACCAATCAAGTTACTATTCTTATGAGGGAATACAAATTTAAATAAGAAAGAAAATTTGCAAAAATGATGTTTATGGTAGTGCAAGTCAAATGACACCATCATGCAAGCCTACTACTTTGTATCAAGCCAAGTAAAATCACTTTATTCATACTTTCCCAAAACTTTACTGGTTTGTCCTGTCAATATTTATCCCACAGGGAGCCCAATTTAGATAAAAGTAATAGGTGAAAATAAAATCAGAGAAATTAAATAATTATTTTTTTAAATTCGAGGTCAAGATAATGTCCTCCATAATACAAAAGAGTAAAAAGTCAATAAAAAATGTGCTAGAACTTTTTTTTGCTCATGCCTTTGTTTTAATATATATAATTCCCCTATGGTATCTAATGTTGTCCATATGTATAAATACTCTTACCATCTCTGATTTTATTTTCACTTTTATCTAAATTGGACTCCCTATGATATCACATTTCTTTTCATTTTCCCAATGGAAGTTCCATGTTCTCCGTGTGAGGGATGGTTTTCACTTGCAAAGTGATCACAAGCATAAATAAAGATTTTTTTAAGTGTTTTAAATTGAAGAAAAAATTTAAAAAGAGAGAAAAAAGTATTTTAWATTTTTTTCAAGACCTTGAACGAACTTGTCATGATGAATGTACTGTATTGACAGTATCTACAGAAAATCAACCTACGTCCCTCCGATGTTGGTTAGAAATGATGAGTGTGGAGAGACGGGGCTGCCATTTAAAGTGGTCATCTGAGCCACTTGAAAGTCTAACCATTTGCATTTACCCTTCTCAAATTTATCTTGAAAGTGAAGCTAACATGAAAATACAAAAGTAATGCCTTGCTTCAGTGATAATTATTTTATTTTATTTTTTAAAATCTAAAAAAAAACCTATGCACCTTTTAGGAGCATAACAAATTCTTTATTACATAAATATTTTGATTAAAGCAAGTGGTTTAAAATACTTTACCTAAGTAAGCATTCTATAACTATATTTATGTACAGGAATGAGCTTGCAATGTTACAAAAGTAAATAATTGTGTAGAAAACTGATGTAATAAACACACCTTGATTTGTACATGTTCCATTTCTGTTTAAAAAAAGCTAAAGTTTGTAAATTGTTAAGGTATGCCTTTCATTGAAGACCCTAAATATACCAGTTTCGAATTCCAAATTACTGCTGTGTTCCTTGATTACAAACTCATTTGCACAGGGTTAGCCTTGTACCAGTGTTTAAATATTCACAAATACCAACAGAAAAGTAAAGAATGCACAACTTCAACAATACAAACATTTTGAAACTCGACGGACCTTGACTGGAATACATGAATATTCTGCACAAACTCAAGGCTAACCCTGTGCAAATCAGTCTGTAATCAAGAAACACAGCAGTAATTTGGAATTCGAAACGGGTCTATTAGTCAGGAAAGAAGGGTGTAGTCACTCCTCCAAAAGGGTGTAAGCTTTTTTAGTTGCCAGAAATCCATCATTATATTTTAAAATTCTTAAATAGAATACTTATTACATAATTTTATGACATCTTATTGTAAAATACCTTGCATTATTGTTACCCTTCATTTCTTAAAATCCAGTAAAATTTTTGATTTTTCTGTCATGTCAATGAAGGGAGCAGGGCTTAAACAAATGACAAATGACAAGTGGTGATGAAATGGAATGAACAGGCAGGATTGGCAAAGCTCCACCCCCTCCATTGATTAACAGAACAAGTAAATCCCAGATTCAACTATTTTAAAAAGAAAGGCTTTTCCAACGAAGAAGACATTGCAGTATTATTATTTCTAAAATAAGCAATTTATGCACTTGTACCAAATTTACAGCTATTTTTAAAAAGGTTGGTTACAGCCATATGTGGTACTGCCAATGCCCTGGACTTAAGTGACTCTATTTCTCCAGTGTCGAAGATAGTCTAAAGCATTGATCCACCTGCGTATGAAAGGAAACTTGGTGACTTATGGCTAATTCAAGTCAAGTATGACCAGTATCTCTCATGTTTTGCTTGCAGGTCTAGGTGCCAACTACGCTCAAAACTCTGGCGATTCAAATTCTTTTAACTTAAAAATAAAGAATTTCAAGATAATTCTCAGCAGCGGTTGGGAAGTGAACTCTTTTGGATAGTATTTCACAATCATTCCTGAAAGCAGGTTCAAAATCTAATTTTTTACTGAATTTTTTTTTGGATATCGGAGTCAGTTGATTGGAGATTTGAACTCTCAGAATTACTGGTCACATTTGACATGGATTAGCTATTAAAAATATTTTACTAGGGTTCGTGCTGATGTAAGCACTTAAAATTCAAGGACTATTCAAGGAGTATACAAGGACCCAAAAATGAATTTTCAAGGAGTGTGTTCAGCTAACTATGCCAAGGCTTTACACGGTGGTTGCACATGGCGACTTTCAGATTTTCTGATCTTTCTGACTAGATCTATTTCAGAACCATGCAAGTAACGATCAAAGCAAAAATTCAAGGAGTTTTCAAGGAGTTTAAGGAGTAGCACGAACCATGTTTTACACTCATTTTCATGATCCATCATCAACACATTTCAAGATGCCTTGGCCAGTACCTTATTTTTTCTTCTTCGTCATGAGCCATCAATTCATAAACTCTTCCAGGAATGATTACATCAAATAACGCATTGTTCACATCTTGTTCATCGGGTGCTTTGTCTTGTACGGCAATTATGATGTCTAGGTCAATAAACCTGTGTGGAAAAATAATAGGCCATAATCATGAACGGGTGACAGCAATGCAAGGCGAGATGATGATCATGTTAATCATAGCAAATGATGACTGACGGTGGTGGTATTTATAATGATGATGATGATTGTGTGCCAGTGGTAGGTGGTAATGATCAAGGTGATGATTGTGATTGTAATGATGATGATAGCTGGGGTGATGATGGTGGCATCTGATGATAATTACCATCTAATACAGGATTCGTGCTGAGGTAACCACTTAAAATTCAAGGGCTATTAAAGGAGTATGCAAGGATCCAAAGGTTAATTTTCAAGGAGTATGTTCAGCTGACTATATATGCCAAGGTTTTACACAGTGGTTGCACATGCCCGACTTTCAGATTTTCTGATCTTTCTGACTAGATCTATTTCAGAACCATGTAAGTAATTATCAAAGCAAAAATTCAAGTTTTCGAGGAGTTTCGCTAAAATCATAAAATTCAAGAGCTTTTCAAGTGCCCTTGAAAGTGTGAAATAAATTCAAGGAGTTTAAGGAGTAGCACGAACCCTGCTAATATGTTGATGATAATGATGAAGATGGTGATTGATAATGACGACTATGATGATAATAATATTGACGATGATGATGAAGGTGTTGATGATATTGACAATGATGATGATGATGGTGTTGATGATATTGACAATGATAATGATGAAGGTGTTGATGATGTTGGCAATAATGATGATGATGAAGGTGTTGATGATATTGACAATAATGATGATGGTGTTGATGATATTGACAATAATGCTAGTGATAATAATTATGATCAGTAACAGTTTGAAAACTAAAGAAAAACATCAAACTGACCCCCTTGGTTGTTCATTATCATTTTTCTTGTAGTAATAAAGTCTTCCTCGTTGATCCGTTGCAAACCATCTCCTTCTCCATCGCTTTCCTGTTAGTCCCTTAACACCTCGTTTACACAGCCACCCTCGCACTTGAGCAACCTTTGTGGCAGAATGAAATTAGTAACAATAACTTCATAACAACAGGTGGTTCATCAGTAATGCAATGAGATGTGGAGAATTTTAAAAAATTAAGGGGGCTCTACTCCCCCACTTCCCCCCTTCCCCTCCCCCCCCCCCTAACCCTTGTGCCCCATACTCCCTACACTATGCTCTGCTTCTTGTGCATAAATTAATACACAGGATTAATGCTACGATCAACAACTGACCCATACTCCCTATGCTATGCTCTGCTTGTTGTGCATACATTAATACACAGGATTTATGTTACAATTAAACAACACCTTGATTAATCCATGCCCCGTACTCCCTACCCTATGCTATACTTCTTGTGCATACATTAATACACAGGATTTATGTTACAAACACACAACACCTTGATTAATCCTTGCCCCATACTCCCTACGCTATGCTATACTTCTTGTGCATACATTAATACACAGGATTTATGTTACAAACACACAACACCTTGATTAATCCTTGCCCCATGCTCTCTACCCTATGCTCTGCTTCTTGTGCATACATTGATACACAGGATTAATACTACAAACACACAACACCTTGATTAATCCATGCCCCATACCCCCTACCCTATGCTCTGCTTGTTGTGCATACATTAATACACAGGATTTATGTTATAAACACACAACACCTTGATTAATCCATGCCCCATACTCCCTACCCTATGCTCTGCTTCTTGTGCATACGTTA